CCGCTCCACCCGCCCCAATATGAGGGAGGAGCGTGACGAACGAGTTGCATGCCTACTCCTGGCTGCGCTAACACTCTCTTATTTGAACAACCGCTACGACATAACCAAATCCACGCTGCGTCATGGGAGTGAGCGCGACGTAACTCGTCCAGATGCTAAGATTAGTAGACAAAAGCTGACTGCCCCCCCCCAAGGCGCCCGTCGCGCGGCGAAGAAAGAGACGCAGACGCGGTTAGGCGTCAGGTTAAATAGAGTGTACCATACTACGTCTCACATCGCACAGCACGCGCTGCGACTCGTCCTTTGACGCGCGACGGGCCTCTTGCAGGACACCCGACTTTGTAAGGCCCTGGCGCCATTGCCCCGCACTCTTGAGCCTCGAGCACGGCACAACTGCGACACTTGCTGACTACTATATCCTACCCACAGAGCGTTTTTAGGCCACTTCTTTTTGATTTAATAGTGTAGGACTTTCCTATTTATATTTAGTATTGTCACGTTCCCAGACGTACTTCGGCCTAGAGGCGGGAATTACTGGACGCAAAAATCGCGTCAGTTGTTCTCAACCAAGGCATGATCCACAATCGAGCTCGTGGACAACCGTCTTACTGAAGTAACTGAAGATGTAATATGTGCAATCAAGAGCAGTCAAATTCTCATTGCACATATTACTTACTTGACGACAAATTCGAGGAGATGCACTAATTAAAGGTGAGCTTCAGCCTATTTTCATTTCTAATTTTCATTTAGAGTAAATTCGTATTTATTTGCCAAATCTCCTACGCCTGAAAAAAAAGCTGTAAATTCTTAGTTTACAGCAGCTCCAACCAACAATTACTATCCCGAGAACCTTTAACGAGCTATAAACTCTGGCAGAAAACCCAACATCGAATATTGATGTCAATGGGAGGTGTCAGCCAGGAGGCACCTGTCCACTAGTACCTGTTGGATGGAAATGCGCTGGATGAAAAATTCCCGAATATTCTTCTTTTTTGTCCTCATTTCGTCTACAGTTTCTTCCTCAAATATGGAAGCCATGCGTTTTTCCTGATATTCCCTGTTTCAGGAATTTCAAACCAAGTACAACCAATAGCTTGTACTGAGCGCTTTGTACGAAGACGACTTGGGCTCGAATTCACACGTCCCATTGGAGTTGGAGGCGCTTGGGGGGGGAGGGGTGAGGGGCAAGTGAAAGTGCTGACCATGTGCATGTTCCGGAAGTCGGATCTGGATTGAATTCTACCCGCGCCGATTAGGTCTTCCATTCCCCACGGATGATTATGTCTAGGGCTGTTTGGAAAAACTAAAATACCGCCTCATGAGACATCGCTTACCCTTCGCGATTCACTGTATAGGCTAACTCGTATTGAGAGTGCCATTGAGATCCTAAATAGAAGTAGCCTGCGTGGCGCACATCAGAATAGGATTCACCTGCGCCAAATACATTTGTGCCCTATCCAGCCCTGCTGTCTAGGCCGTAGAGCTATTCAGATCCAACCAGTGCACTTCTGGCACCACCTCCCAACATAGTTCCTAGAGAATTCCGGCGATCAGTGCTTGATCATCCTAATCCGAAAAACTCATAATCTGTAGTTGCGGAAGGCTGATATAGCAGAGATAGCGTAGCCAACGGGCGCCAGTCCCGTTAAGTTCATAGGATCGAATTCCACCTTGACAGCGCCTTCCTTACCTACAGAAAAGAGGCCCAACACCTCGTTGGCCAGTAATGTAAACCGTCCTTTTGAGCCATACGAAGGGAGATCTAATTGTGATCGAGGAGTCGCCCCAATCAGAACATCCCACTTGAGCAACTCAGCAGCGCAAAGCAGCACCAACCCGGGTGATCCCAAAACTCTGCGTGCTATAACTGGTCGATTGCGTCCACTTCTCAATGCAAGAAAGAGGAAGCAGCATCAGGATGCAGATTTTGCGACTATCCCGAGCTGGGGCTGCTGCACTCGGCCACAATCGGAACTTGGGGGCGGGATAAGAAGTTTGCCGGGTCCCTGGAAATCGAATACTATGCAATACTGTACACAATGTTCAAATAGAAGACAGAGAAGCGAAATATTATTCTAGGGAAGGGTGCGTGCGTAGAATTGAACGATGCCAAACGTGAAAGTGATCCTGATGAATTCACATACTACACATCCCCAGTGGTCACACCTCTCAACGGAATAAAGTAGAACCTTACACTTCCGGGGAGCAATACATGAACTCAAGTAATATCATCTTCCTTTTGCTCTGCTAATTGAAGGGGAAGCTATCCGCATGAAAATTTATGTGGGATCTCACTCTGAATATGAAACAGTAGAACGAATGGCGAAATTGGAGAAATAAAGAAAAGAAATCGTCAAGAAACACAAGAAAATAAAACGCATGTGAATCAAAAAGAAGGATATAAGATAATTGAGTCCATGAAAAAAGTCGATTCGAAAATAGGTAAATCAGTGACGCAGATAAATATTCACGTGACGGGCTGATCTGGCGAAGTGAATGCCAATTCTGAGCGCCTAAGCGTATAGCGGATGAGTCCACTACTGAAGGATGCATTCAGTGCAAAAGTGGCCGACTGTATCTACACCATACATTACGGGCTAAATAAGCGACCGACCTCCTACACCCTATCGAACTAGCCCATAAAAGAATAAAGGATAGAAGGAAACTCAACAACTTTACTTAATTTTATACGGCCATAAGATAGATTCAACAACAATCTGAAAAAAAAATTCAGTGACCCGCAGAATCATCCAGACTTGATAAGTTTGCTTGAACTAGGTTGAGATCGGAGGGTTCGCAGCATGCCAGGATATCGTGCCACCAGTAGAGATCGTAAAATCCATATAACCGTTATAATAGCGGTAATACAGTATAAATTTATTACTGTTGATTCGTTTGGTAGATGACATGTGCCAACCAAAACCTACAAAAATAAATATTTAAGCATTTTACATGATAAGTCAGCCAATGAAAGCCAAGAAAACATACATCATCTTCAGAGATCGTTGCCATCAGAAAGGTCGGACGATTCCCGTTACGCCATGAGAATGAATTAACCGTGTACTCCCAGAAACCACCCGCTGGTTGTGACCACCTGCAAAAATCACAACAATACGTGCATCCATGATAGTCAAAAACAACAAGAATTGGCAGTAAAACATTGAGAAATTTTAATATTATAAAATTCGAGGTAACCTTTTCTTGCATCCTCTATGGCTGTGACCATTGAAAACCGCACGAGGTTCAAGCTTCTGTAGAAGCAACTCGGTAGACTCCTCAGACAACGCTTCCCATTTAGGACGATAAGGATCGTCCCTGTTAGGATCGTCATCGTCGAAATCTTCGTCACGAAGGCACTCGTTATCGTTGAGCCTAAACTTCTCTTACCAGGTACAAAAACTACGTCTCCATCATGACCACTGATGATCAATTTTAGAAAGTAAGCAAAGTAAGGAACGTCAGCACTTGACGACCTTTTTTGAAGGCACCCTGCAACGGACTTTCATAACAATTTTTTAGATCCATGAGCTCGCAGATTTACACTTCCAGTGTTATGGACATATGAAGTTCTATTTGTGCCTTTTCCTTATGCAAAGCTGAACCTAATCCGACTTGTTTGGTGTACTTCTGCGAAAACAAAAACAGTGTAAGTATGGCTAGTGAAGGGAAAATGAAAAGAAAGGCCGAAAATGCCTATGACTAGCCCGTTTTCCTGGATGCTTTTAGAATCTAGAGACACAGCCTAAGAGACCTGGGCACCGAAGCGAAAGAACAACGGACTGAGACTAGTGAAAATTGCAGGCAACAAGGCACGTACAGGATAACGGTGAGCGAGCATATTTGCTTAGGGACGTCCCTGGCTGCAAGTGAAGGCCTATTTAAGCTTCCGTCACACGTTTTCGCCGCATAATGACCCCCCACTATGCGGACCCAGCGACCTCAGTGAAGTTCTAGCCGTTGATCCAATGGCGGAGTGCGCCTTTAACCTGTCCCACGGGAATGGAGAGTTCATCCCCGTGAAGAAGGCGAATAAAAGTCAAGAAAATCTTTGACCATGACTCTGTACTGCTTGAGAATACTGTCCAGAGTGAATGTACACGCGAAGGTCACGAACGGCTCGCGCGTGGCTGAGCAGGTGGAAAATTTCGACAAATCCTCGATCAATCTTCGCCGTGCCCGTTACAGTAGTTGGTCTGGGCGCGATCCAAAAAGGGGTGTGTGCTTTGAGCGACAGAAGGCATAACCTAACCAAAATCTGTTTTGAGAGAAATGTGCAGGAGAAGTACAGAGCAGTACCTGAACAAAGGAAAATGTTGAAGAAGTATTGGTCGACGATACGACTGGAAACGATGTGAAGCATTTTTTTCACAAGTGTCCAGTTTCGAGCAGTTCAGCTCTTTAGCGATCTCGTCGAGCTCTCTTTCAGCCTCATAACAGAATCGGCAACCGTCGCCATGTAAAGCCATTGACGTCACGAGGATAAAGGGTTGCCCTGAATTGGAAACTTCAAATACAATTACAGCACAATGCTTACTCAAGCATCACCGCGGTCCAAGAATATTGACAAAATTCACCTTCTATCACAACAACATCCACTGTACTGCGATTGAATCGTTTTTCAAACCATTCGACACGGGATGGTGACACTCTTAAACAAGGTGACTTATGCGAAACTTGCTTAGACTGCCGTCACACTCGGCGACGGACAAGCGATGGAGCGATCGTGATCGGCGGTCATAACGCGAGGAAATGCTCCAAATAGAACGAATAAAGCATCCACAATTTTTAAAGATTGCCACTTTAGTAATTTCTTAACTCGCTCATCAAAAGCCA